GTCAATGAGAGAACTGGCGCGGAATTATTCTCCTGTCCATCTCAAGCAAAATAAAAAGCTGCATGATCCTGGAGAGAATCAAACACGCCAACCTGGATAGAAAACTTCCACCGGAACAGGCTGGATTCAGAAGAAAAAAATCATGCAATCGCAGCACTACGGATCATCATTCAACAGAGCTTGGAATGGCAGTCAGCCCTCTATCTCAACTTCATCGAATTTGAAAGGCCTTCGACAGCGTCGACCAAGAGGTGATTTGGAAACTACTTCGCTACTACTGGGTGACAACCACAATTATACATCTCATTCAACAGTTGTATGACAATGCTTCGTGTCAAGTAATCGACAACAGGAAACTCACGGAATCCTTCGATGTGAAGAGAGGAGTAAGACAATCTGGCTGACTACTGTCTCCAATGACTTTCTTGATTTCGGTAGACTGGATCTTACGACAGAAAGCGGCGGGCAGCGATGAAACAGGCATAAAATGGAACAATACAAAACACTTGGAGGATCCGGACTTCGCCGATGATGACATATGTCTGATATCCCACAAACTGGAAGATATGCAAGTGAAAAGCAACAAGTTGTTAGAAGAAGCATCAAAGATAGGAAGGACTTCAGGTGAGCGTAGAGTAAAAAGATGTGGTGTTGAAGATTCCTGGCCAACAGCAACAGCCACAGCAACCACAGTAGACGACAATCAGCCAGCATAAATGGGAGAAATCTAAAAGAAGCAACCTCCACTACCCACCTACGTGGGAAGTATCGTTTCAACCACAGACGGACAGAACTGATGAGAATATCAAAGGAAAGACTGGGAAGGCAAGGCAAGCTTTCATTTCTCTCATGTCTGTGTGGAGGTCAACAACACTCAACATGAAAAATGAGATCCGGATTTCCAACTCAACCGTGAAATTAGTGCTACTTTATGGATCAGAAACTTGACGCACCTCAAACAAACTACAGACCTTCATGAACAGCTGTTTTCGCTCAATACTTCGCTCAAGATCAGGTGGCGGGCCAGAAAAGATCAGCAACATAGATCGCTGGGAGCGAACCAAACAGGAACCGACTGTACAACAAATATGCAGGAAGAAATGGATGTAGGTAGATTGGCCATACTCTGAGGAAACAATGCATCAAGTTACATAACTAGACAAGCCATCGCTCGAGTGGAACCCGAATGGGAAGCGGCGATTTGGTCCTCAGTGGGAGGGTGGGGTGACATGGAGGAGGCCATGCGAAGAGGAGATGAAAGCACGTGGGCAGATGTGAAGTTAGGTGAAAACGTTGGCAGAGAACCGAAAGCGATGGAGACCTATTTTCCTCTAGGAACTTAAAGAAACAAAATAATAATAATGTCCTCACAAATAATAACGGACAACAAGGGAAGGAGAATTTCTATGCCTCACTGTAGATAGTAATGGATGATATCTCTTCACAGATTTCCGTCTACCTCAGAGCTGGCGCAGAATAATGCTCATATCCACGCAAAGTACAATACTAAGTCTCCTCATCTCGAAGAGAATAAAACAGGTTATGGATACGGAACTCCACCCGAAACAAGGCGGTTTCAAGATAAGCAAACCATGTGAGGAAGTAATCGCAACTCCACGCATAACCATCAAACATAGTATAGGGTAGCCATAGAATCTCTGCTTCAACTGCATCAACTCCGAAAAAGCCTTCAACAGAGTTGATCGCGAAGTGATTTGAAAACTACTTCAACACTATGAAGTGCAGCACTCCTAAAACTTTATCAGCCTCATATACCAACTTAATAACAAGCTAGATGTCAAGTGGTCCACAGCGGAAAATTTTACGGAGTCTTCAAAATGATGGCAGGAGTAAGACAAGGCTGACTAGTATCACTGATGATTTCCCTGACTGTAGTTGACTGGATTGCGCAACACACCTTAAGGGGAAAGAAGAGGGGAATATGTTGCACCGGCAAGTAGACTCTAGGAGATCTGGACTTCGCGTGTGCATGACTTATGTCTAATTTCAGACAAACTCGAAGACTTCCAGGCAGGCGAAAACCAACAAACTGGCTGAAGACGATAGCAGGCAGCAAAGACAGGACTTCAAGTGAACCTATAGAAGACGGAGGTGATGAAAACAACTAATGGACCGCAACAACAACCAATACCAGTCACCATCAACGGAAGAGATTTAACAAAGTTTGCCTCCTTCACTCATTCAGGTAGCATCATTTGAACTGCAGGAGACAACACGGAGTATGACGTCCAAAAGAGAATCGGAAAGGTAAGGTAAACCTCAATAGCTCACTCTGGAACCAGTTATCAAATCTTCTGCACTCAGCCAGCATGAACAACAAGATCCTGATTTTCAACACTTATGTGAAGTCAGTCGGTGATTTTATATGGTCCAAATACTTCGCGCGTCACGGAAAGCATTTCCAACAGGCTACTGTAGACTTTTATCAACGGCTGACTTGACTGGCTCCATAGTGAAGATCAGATGGCTAACCAGAGAGAATTATCGCCAAAATCTTTGGGAACGAACGAATCAAGAACCGACTGCTTAACAAATACGTCGAAGGGAAATGGAGATGGATCGAACACAGTCTGAGAAGGCCGTTGGGCGACATCTCTCGCCAGGTATGCCGTCGAGTCAAATCTGAATGGAAAACGACGAGTTGGGCGTGTGTCCGAGGGTGACTTGTAGGAGATCGTGTCAGTAGGAGATGAAAGCTTATGGGTAATCGTGTGGCTAGATGAAGAGGACTTCAGAGAAAAGGGCGAAGTGGAGGTGTGTTGCTAAAGTCCAGGGTTCCTCCCGGAGCTCAAGGGAATAAAAATATTAAATTTTTAAAACTGTCTACAAAATATTAACCTGGTCAGTTTGATTGAATTGATTGGAATTCGGAAAACAAAATGTGTATCAAGATGGGACATACCACCAATGATTGACGTCGGTGATTTCCAACTGCTTCTATCAGTCAGAAATAGTCATTGTCTTACAGCAACAGCAGAAATGAGTGATCAAATGAGCAACCTATAGATGCACACACACACTCATGAAATGGCTACTGCGAAGACCACTCTCACCATCCAACGGTTGAATTTCCACAACACGAATGTGTAACTCAACAGCAGGGTTGACTTATCACTTCACTTCTAATTATTTGCACACCATTCAACGATATATTGAATTATAAGTATTGACAGTTAGCGTAGTCATTTAGTCACAAGTGTCTTAGTCGGGTTGCCCAACGACGGAATACCTCAAAATTCTGACGGTAACACATTTCAAGTTATCGTGAGAAGACAAAAAGCGGTTAACATGTTTTTCATATGGAGATTAGGTAGGCCAACATCCAACTTGACTTATGGTTCATTCACCTCACAACATTCAGTCAGTACTGCAGCTCCACTCTATGTAAGAGAGACGTAACAATGAGAGACACATTTTGATTTGGTTGTGTTCTCTTAGCTAGTTGATTGAATAGCGAAGCTTTCATTGTCTTTCTAGTCAACATCTTCAGCGCACACTGACGCCGTTATGCGACGATCAGAATTGATTACCCCACCCCATAATCAAATCAAATATGTTGGTACGTTATGCTGATGATATATTTCTAATAATTAGGGGAAACAATTTGGAGAGCACTCACAAATTAATCAACAGTATGCCTGGAAACAATAAATTCACGAGAGAAGAAGAATCAAACAACCAAATTCCATTCTCACATGTTTTAGCCAAGAGAAATAAACAACACAAGAAATTCAGGAACACAGGAAATCAACGCAGAAATCAAATACTCAACTATGGGAGCAATAACTAAATGACTCACAGAAGAATCTACGTGCAGACCCTGCTTAAAAGCGTTCTAACACACTGTAGCACCCCAGTGCTGAACACGATTGGTCAGAGTGGGCGGATAAGAATGAAAGAACACAAATTAGCTGTGAAGAGACACGACAGGTAATCTTTCATACCAATGCATGTAGGCAATTATGGATACTGATTGGATTGGCAAAAGTGTAGAAGGAAAATAACAACTAATGAAGACAGGGGAGCTCAGGAGATACAAATGCGTCATCATTCATGGAGACTTCAAACAAGTGCAATTTCTATTTAAGCTCTCCCTAAAGATGTTTTCTGGTTGGGGGAGAAGGAAAACCTACCCGTCAACTCAACCCGCTCAGAGAACACAACCAAATCAAAACCATCCATCTGAGGTACAAACTATTCTCTATTATTTCAATAAGAGACACTGCGTAATCGGCCACTGCATATAAACTGAAATCTGAAACATGCAACATTATTGACTCAGATCACATTGGTAAGACCTCGGATCATTACACACACACTGGATTTTGACTAACCAACTAAACCAAGTATTTGATAGGACAATACTCAACCAACGAACGATATGATGTGCTTTACCAATGGTAATATAAACATCTAATAATCCGTGAAATGTCAACTACCAGAAACGTGAACGTCAACTGAGGGAATAAAATTATTATATGGAGAGAGTCATACGCATTAATGTCATGTTACCATTGTTTTGAAGCGGCATTTGTGAAGTCGTGTAACACTTTGATTGAACACAAGTGCATCTGATGACATTCGAACATTTTAAAGATTTGAGAAGAACTACACGAATATATCTTACATTCACGCTGATTTTCCCCAGTGGAGTGTATGTGGACACACTTTAGAATACGTGAAGGACAATGAAGAACACATACACCCAAATGCATAATCACAATATCAGCCTTATATGAAAAAAGTCAGCGGACATAGTTACACGTCCAACTATTTGCAGTATCACCACTAGTTGGCGTCGACATTATAGTCTAGATTTGAAAGTCAAATATAATTCTTACCCTACTGAGAAGTGACAAGACGAAATCTAGCATACACTCACTCATTTACTCACATGCTTGCCTGCTCACTCACCTACTCTCATACTCCATCACCACAATCTGCTCTCATATCAGTTGAAAAAAACACAAACGAGACACGACAGGATAAATATTTACTTTATATGTTATTACTACAAACATGTATGAGTATCGTCATCCACGTTGGAACTCCGATTCATTTAGGCAAACTTGAGGATCTTGGTTGATAATAACGGAGAATCGATTGTTGAATCTTTTCATCAACAGCATATTTCTCCCAACATTTTTTCAGCATATTATCCTCCAGTGGAAATTTAACCGAAATCTTGCAGACATCTTTCAGAACATCCTCTAAATGATTTCCACTCGGCATATATATCTCATTGTATATCACACGCAGAATATTCTCCCATTGATCATTGTAATCAAAGTAGTATTTCTCACGGGTTTTCCCATTTATACACAACTGGGGATAAAGCAGTAGCTCACTTCCCGGCTCAAAGATGTTAAGATATGTGATGAGTCGACCGAACAGGTTTTTCGATGTGTCTTTAGCTTTCGTCCTCGGTGAATTAGTCAGATACTCAGCATCTATGTGGTAGTGGAATGGATCACTGGTTATTTGACAGTAAAGCTTTTGTAATTCAATCAGTTCAGAGAAATCTTGAAAGAAGGGAATGCACACGGATCGAACCATCCGACTGGCGATCATGTAGGCGATACGTGTGTTTGTGAAACCAACCGTTACATCAAAGATATATTTACTGATATCCAGTTTTTCGAGAGACTGCTCGTAGCCAATTAACTTCACAGGTCGGATTGGATGTTGAAGTTGTCGGTGTTTCGTGGCCATATGGAAAACAACCAATTTCGAAACCCAATGACCAGTGATAAGCATCGCCTTCTTCTTGTCAGATTCATCTGTCAGACCATATTTTTCCATTACACCACTTCGAAGTACTCCCCACGCATAGTTATCCTTCATCAATATACTCGGTGTGTAACTACCCTCCTGAAAGTAGTTGACAACAGCGGCGATCATCACTGAGATGCATGCATCCGCCATCTCAGCTTTCAACACATCTCTCATCTCTGAACTAGTTGCTACATTGTCTACCGTCCAACTGTCATAACACCAATAACCATCTTGACGGTCGTCAAAACATATATCCGGGAGTGATATATTTTCAGTTGCTGCTTCTCCAGAAGAACGTGTGCCTTCATCTGTACCTGCTGTTGCTGAGGTGGCCAACTCTCCTAGAAGTCCGTGGAGGATCGCAGAGCTCACTGCATTGCTTAGCCATACACGCAACGGTTTCGATACACACTGGCCAACAGACTTGTACATATAAGCAGCGGCTGTTGCAGCGAACTGTATCCATGACTTCTTAGTATATTTTAGATCCCCTTCATTGAATTTAGGCATGAACTTCTTGTCAAGCACCAACAGGAATTCACGAGTCATTCCATGACTAGAATAATCTGCCGATGCACAGTCAAAATCGCCATCAAGTCTTAAGTCGTCTATCAAAATGTTGCCCAATTCGTTGGTTAGTTCGTTCATAGATTTCGTGATCTCGACTAGTTGATTATTATTATCGGAATCCTGAAATGTGAAAGAACGTCGGTGTGTAAATTCAACATGAATGAGACGTTATGAATTTAAAAGAGTGAGAAACTGAGGTCCTCTTACTTGTTAGCGCAAAGTAGAAGGTCCTTTCGGATACCAAACAATTCTCAGTACCTGTTATTGAATGAAAACAGGGATGAACTAGTCGGAAAACAACTGGCAGACGTATAGAAATGACTGAATAGTAATCCCTTATTAGACGAAGTGTTTTTCGAAAATACTAGACACACAGGACCGATAATACTACGACTTTATGATCTACCGAAGATACACAAGCCCAATTTGCCACTCCAGTTGAATCAAGGAATGTCTCGAGGCTTCATTCAGGCTACAGGTGGTTTCTTATCTGACATCTCAGAAATTATTAGGAGACATGTGTATCCATCCAATTCCTCTGTAATATGTGAGAATTCTTCCATTTCTATACCTAATATTAAGGCTTTCAATAAACGCTGTATATTTGAATACCAGTCGCATTCATTCGATGCACATGGAATGTAAAATTTCCATTCAAAAAAGTCGATATCCTTATGGAATCGCGTTTCCTGCCACTTCTTGCAGCCTGTTGTAAGCCTATTTTGGAAGAACAAGTCATCTGAACTGATCACTGCAGAACTATGATTTGTGTGAAATATATCATACATACATTGACACCTCACCTTTCTAACTCAACTTCATCGACTTTGAAAAGGCCTTTGACAGAGTCGATCGAGAGGTGATTTGGAAACTACTTCGCTACTATGGGCTGCCACCAACAATTATACATCTCATCCAACAGCTGTACGACAATGCTGCATGCCAAGTAATCCACAACGGGAAACTTACAGAATCCTTCGAAGTGAGGACAGGAGTAAGACAAGCTGGCTGCCTACTATCGCCAATGATTTTCCTGATTGCAGTAGATTGGATAATGCGACAGACCGTGGCGCGCAATGAGGAAACAGGCATAAAATGAACTCACATAAAAAAATTGGAGGATCTGGACTTCGCCAATGATATATGTTTGATTTCCCACAAACTGGAAGATATGCAAGCGAAAAGCAACAAGTTGGCAGAAGAAGCATCAGTGACAGGAAGGACTTCAGGTGAACATGAAGAAAACAGAAGTGATGAAGATTCCTGGCCAACAGCCACAGCAACAACAACAGACAACAATCAGCATAAACGGAAGGAATCTGAAAGAAACAACCTCTTTTACCTACCTGGGAAGCATCGTTTCAACTATAGGTGGATGGGACTGACGAGGATATCAAAGCAAGAATCGGAAAAGCATGACAAGCTTTCACTACTCTGAAGTCTGTTTGGAGGTCAACAGCACTCACCATCAAAAATAAGATCCGGATTTTCAACTCAAATGTGAAGCCAGTCAGTGCTACTATACGGATCAGAGACTTGGCCAGCGCGTCATAAAGAGCACCTCAAGCAAACTACAGACCTTCATTAATAGTTGTCTTCGCTCAATACTCAAGATCAGATGGCCAGAATAGATCACCAATAGGGATCTCTGGCAATGAGCGAACCAACCCAGCAGGAACCGATTGTGAAACAAATAGGAAGGAAGAAATGGAGGTGGATTGGCCATACTCTGAGGAAACCATCAAGTGACATCACTAGACAAGCTATTGCTCGAGTGGAAACCGAAAGGGAAGCGGCGAGTTGGCCGTCCGTGCGAGGGTGACTTGGAGAAGGTTATGTGAAGAGGAGATGAAAGCATGTGGGCAGACTTTGAGCCAGGTGAAGACTCTAGCAGAGAACCGAACACAATGGAGACGCACGGCTGAAGCCCTATGTTCCTCTAGGAATTAAAGGAAACAATAATATAATATAATACATTGACGATACTTTTATCATTTGTGATATTAATAATAATTGTGACTTGATGTATACATCTAAAGTGTCTTTAATAACTAAGATCAGGTGATGAACTTCAAACTTGAAATGGAAGACGACTGTATTATCTGTTTACTTGATGTAAAGGTGTCACTCAAGAGTGATGACACTATGAGGAGATAGATTCATAGACTCCTATCACATAATTTATAACTGACAAGCCTCTATAACTGGGAACACTCCGATGTCTAGAGAAACTTGTTTCAATCAGTCACCATTCACATTTTGTGATATTTTTAGCACTGATCAACATGTGAGAAGAGTGAACTCTTCTAACTAAATTCTCAATCGAAAACAATTTACTCAACAACAAATAAAGATTCGATATTTAACCACTTTCTTCAAGTAATATTATGACTGTCTAAAATTTTTCATCTCATCTCAGCACTATTGTGTGGTTATATGCAAGTATATGCATTGCAATGGCTAAGCTATTTCTCGAGATTATCTAACTAAATGGGGGGGGGGGTTCAAACATTCAATATCTGGGTAAAATGATTTATTCTGATAACCCAACTGATCCGGATCTATGCACTTCACTGTAATCACATAAATGGATGTGATATGGTAGACGTACTGAAAGTTAATATATAATAAGGTGAAGGAAGAGAGATGGAGTGGAGTTAATTCTTGAATTTTTCTTCCTAGAGTCAATACCAGATGCATTAGTTGTAAATGAATTCACAGACAGGAAGTGTTTCGCTCAATCACATATCTTGCTTTTTTACAGGCTAACAAAGTCAATGATATGATAATATTAAATTCGAACAATCTGATCACACACAGAGACTCGTCATAGGAATATAAATGAAATTAATAAAGAGTTATCATTATTGTTTCCTTGGGTTCCTAGTGAAACATAGGGCTTCAAATGCACGTCTCCACTTGCTTCTGTCTTCTGCTGTACTTTTCACATGAATCCATGTTAGTCCATACTGTTTCAACTCCTCTTCACACGATCTCCCCCTGTCAACCTTGGACGTCCCACCCGCCGCTTCCCTTTCGGGTCCCACTCGAGGGCCTGACGTGTGATGCCACCCAGCGGTCTCCTCAGCGAGTGTCCAATCCATCTTCACTTTATCCTGCATATTCGTTGGACGACTGGTTCTTGTTTTGTTTGTTCCCATAATTTCTTGTTGGTGATTCTTTCCGGCCATCTGACCTTCAGTATAGAACGAAGACAGCTGTTGAAAAAGGTCTGAAACAGGCTGTTGGAAATATTCTTGGTGACCCGACAAGTTCCTGATCCATACGTATGGAAGAACTGACTGACTTGACGTTTGTATTGAAAATCCGAATTTTGTTGTTGATGCTGAGGAGTGACGAAGATTTCCAGATTGTTTTCAGGTTGATGAATGTGTTTCTCACCTTCCCGATTCTCGATTTGACATCCTCGTCCGTTCCTCTTGTAGTTGAGACAATGCTCCGTAGATAAGTGAATGAAGTAACCTCTTTCAAATCCCTCCCGTTGATGGTGATTGGCGCTGGATGTTGCTGCTGTTGTTGTTGGTTGGTTATTTTCATAACTTCCTTCTTGTCTATGTTTACCTGGAGTCCTGTGTTTGCTGCTTCTTCGACCAGTTTGTCGTTTTTCGCTTGTAAGTCTTCGATTTGTGTGACATCAAACATAAATCATCTGCGAAATCCAGGTCTTCTAGGTTCTTCCCCTTGGACTTAAATTTTGTGTTCCTCGCACGCAATTTATGGATGTAGCCATCCGTGCTGAGTTCAAAAAGTTCTACGACCATTTTAAGCCTATTGCTGCAAAATCTGATGAAGATCAGGGTTGGTTTGAAGCCAAGATGTTGAATGTAGCATACCTGTTTCCAAACAACTTCTCAGCATTTCAAGGCCCTGAAAGAGCTTCGGGAATACCTTAATATGACAATCACAAAACCTGATAAAAGTCCTGGAGACGTCATCATGAACAAAAGTGACTACAAATCCAGAATGTTATCTACTTCTGATGATAAAAGCAAATTCAGCTGTGATCCATCTTCAGAAGATATTCAGTTGTTGCAAGCCACAGTAACAGCTAATCTAGTGAAGTTGTATGGACTAAATGCCAAAAGTAAAGACATATCTGACTCTTTAAAACAATCCGAATGAAAATTCCCACATATGTAAGTTTCTCCAAAAAAACATAAACCTAGTAATCCTCTATGTCCTATTTTGTCAGATAGCCAATACATAAACTTTCTAAATGGTTAGGCGAATTATTGCACCCAGTCAAAACACACTTCTGTAAGTATGTCATAAAACATAAATTTTAACTGATTAATTACCTTGATGATAATAATATTATCAATAAAAATATATATATTCTTTCGATGTAAACTCTTTATTCACTTATGCGCCTTCACCTAAAAAAACAGTTGACATGTCTTGTGTTTACATTTCCACACTTAACTATTTCATCCCGTTCCCTATATCTTATTTAAGGCGTTTATTACTCCTATGTTCTAGCAATGTTACATTCACATTTGAAGGCGACTGCGTACGTCAGGTCAATGGTGGAGCTATTAGAAGTTGGTTAGTGTGCATTTTAGCAGACTCCTGTAAGTTACAAAAAGGATTGGTGTGAACATTATTTGATCGTGTAAGGAAGCTGTGTTTAGAAGAAAAGATTGAGGAAGAGCTATCCATTGTCGAGAAATGCCTACGCGACAACGGTTACCCACAAAAGTTCATTGACAAGTATGGGAGACGTCATGTTGAAAAAGTGAAAATCAGCACAGTAGAGAAAAAGCCTATCTTTCTGCAACTGGCATTCAAAGGTGACGATACTGCCAGTAGAGTAAGATGTAGACCTGAACGCTGCCCCGAAAAGAACATATCCAGCCGCCAAGCCTGTATATGTTTATCAAACAACTAGTTGTTTGAGACAATCAAAATTGGACAAATACCCACCTCATGTTACCTCCAACTGTGTCCACCAATTTACATGTACGTGCCAAAGCACATACATCGGAAAAACAGAGAAAAGGGTTATTGTCCGCATTTCTGAACACATACCAAAGAACCTGAGACTGAAAGGTCCACAAGTATTAAACAGTGCAATTGCGCGTCATCTATTAGACACTGGTCATAATGTAGACAACATGAAATCATTCAAAATAATCAACAAGCAAAAGAAACCTAACTTGCTACGCTTTGCTGAAGCAATTGCTATCAGACGACTTAAACCAAGTCTATGTACGCAGAAAGAGACAGTGGTGAATCTTGCACTGCCCTGGTGAAAACAAAATATGCAACTTGTATGAGTCACCCTTTTTCTTGTTTAGAAAACTCTACTCTCTCATCTAAACATGACTCACCCTATCTTGTTCTTTTCTCTTCCTTTTTTTCTATTGGCTATTAGACAAAACATTTTCTTTAGTTACGTATTCTACCTTTTTGTTTTGCTCTTTCTAGCTAAACCTTGTTTCAATACACATATATATGCAACTCTGTTTTTGTTTCCAAGCCTAATTGTCTAATTATTCTATAAATAGTCAGTGTTTGTATCTCTTAATTAGTTAAATCATTCCGGACTAATGTTACTTTTACTTCCTACCAATTACTCCTTGTGATCGTAGAAAAGTATGTTCAAATCTTTAATGTGATGTAATTCATATTTTTTATCATTCAGGTTGTAACCAGTTGAGAAGAATCCTCGAAATAATAAAAGATGAGCTCATATTATCCTGATACAATTGTTATTCTTGCTTTGTTTAAGTTTATTAATGGGAAGAATTGCATGAAGACTCCTTTATGTTGTATATTGAAAGTTTATTGGAAGACTTAGTCGAAAATGCATCACTTTATAGGAGATATATCGACGACATTGTAATCATAAGCCACTTCCATTTTAAATCGAATGAAAGAAGTTCAAAATGGCATGTCACTTATGCCTGTAGAAGAGGAAAATAATTGTCTATCTTTCCTAGATCTATTGCTTGGTCGACAGCCTCATGGATCAATGAAACGATCCATTCATAGAAAACCTACCTGGACAGGACAGGAAAGTATCTTAATTATCACAGTTTATGCCCTGTTCGATAAAAAAGAGTATAAGTAAGGCGCCTCTTCAGCGGAATCCAGCAAATATACACTGTAGACACACTTGATGAGAAAGAAAGAAAGTTGATACAAACAATGGTTGATAGTAATTATCCGGCGAAGTTCATAAGGAGATGTAAATTGGTTACAGGATTTCATCATGAGCTGACATTGGTTAGAGAACCATTGGAAAGCCTGCGAGTACTGGACAGCTGTTTCGTCCGTCCTAGTTTGGGACTCTTCATCAGTACGCACCCACTGGGGTTCATGATGAAATCCTGTAACCAATCAACCAAATGCCTACAAACCAATACTTGAATATCAATGAGATGCTCACTGGCGACTGGCCCCATTCAGGTAGGTAGTTACCTAGGATTCCAATAGGAAGTTGTGACCAGTAGGGTGCAGCAGGTTGGGTGTGAGGACAAATACTCGCTGAAGACATTGGCTGGCGGTTGCGCAGAAGTTAGAGTTCATGAGCCATTGGATCGCGTCCCAGTGGCTTAATAGTATACGAGTTCGCCTTGTAACCAGAAGGTCCTGGGTTCGAATCCAGTTGTGGTGGGTGCGTACTGCTGAAGAGTTCCAAACTAGGATGGACGAAACAGCTGTCCACTACTCCCAGGCATTCCAATGGTTCTCTAACCAATGTCAGCTCAGGATAAAATCCTGTAACCAATCAACCAAATCCCTACAAACCAATACCTGAGATATAAATTGGTCAGAACACCAAGACCCAGTGTCCAACTCTCCGCTAAGAAAGACATATATATCAAGCTACCCTACATGGGTTATTATAGCAGTTCGTAAACTCGACAAAGAATAGACACTACGGTTGAAAAGACTTCTTATGAAGCTCAGATCAGAATAATTGAGAATGTGAAGCCAACATATCCAACTTAGTCCTTAGAACATGAGGAAAATGATGTCACTTCCCACTGTATTCACCAATTTGAATGAACGTGTGGACACACATACATAGGGAGGACTCATCGACCTCTGCAAATAAAGGCTTCAGAACATAAACCCTAGGTGAATTCAGAAGTAAATAAAATGGCTAGAACCCATTAATGGTGAGAACAGATGACCTAGCTCCTCTTTTGCGTAACATATTATAGACACGACATAAAATTGACGTTTACACATCTTTTAAACCTATCTATGAAACGTATTTGGGGCGTATCCTAACGTTTGTGGGAGCCCTAGCAATTAGAAAGTTTAAACCACATTTATGCGTTCATCAAAGATAATTTGTCATCACACTAAACCTTCCTTGGTAAACTTTGTTTTGATAACAACCAGAAGAGATGTACTATTACCTATGTTATTTGGTTTAGTGATCTTCATTGTTATTTTGACATTCAATAGGTCCTTTAAACTTAACCAAGTCTATTTTCTCAACCCTTAACTCTTTATTAATTTCATATATATTCCTATGACCAGTCCGTGTGTGATCAGACTGTTCGAAGTGTGTTGCGCAAGTACATTACACGATTCAGACAAATTAAGTCTTTTTATTGATTTGTCTAAATTCATAAACGGATCTAATTGTTTTAAGTAATAATAAAGCTTTGTTTCAGACAAAATGTGTGTACAGTACAGAAATGTTCAGAGTGTTTCAAAAATGAAGACTCTGGGGGAAATTTCGGGAAGTATAATGCAGAAATTTTGTGGAAATAAGACATTCTTCAGCGCACCCTCCCACCTCAGTATACACCGAATTTCCTCAAAAACCTCAAAATACCCCTCCCCCCGAAAAGCCCTTACATTTCTCTCGAAATCTTTTATTTGAGTTAGTTTCCAAATAGTTTTCATCTTCGTAGAGGATTTATATGTAAAGTAATAATCTGAAGTATATCATGTGACGCAAAGTTGCCGCACATGAGGAGAGAACCAAGTTAGTTGATTGTTTTCTTTATTTATTTCGACAGTTTCACGCATTTTGTTGAAAGCTAATTAAACATGTGCAACACGAGTTCATGTAGTCATCGTTTCATATATAAGCATGTTTAAAGCAAATATGAAACGCAGAAGAATCGTGTCATTTCGATGAGTGTATCTTCTGGTAGCCCAGTGATACAAGCAGGCCACCGTGAACTGAACAAATCTTACACCAAGTGCTGGTTTGCAGGGATTCTATCTGATTCGTTACAGCACTGCATCACGAGCTGATATTTGTTAGAGAACCATTGAAAAACCGGGTGGGAGTACTGGACAACTGTTTTGTCCCAGTTTTTCACTCTTCACCAATACTCACCCACCATTAGTGTCCCAATGCAGCACCTCTCAGTTAAAACGCAAGCTCGTAGGTAATCAGGCCAGCAGAACCTGACCCGATGGCCGGTCCATTAATTCCGACTTTTGTCAATTCATGATGCTCACCATCTATTGGCCTTATACAGGTAGTTAGTTACCTGGGTGGGTCCTAGTGAAACGTGGTCACCAGTGGAGTGTAGCAGGTCGGACTTGTCGACAAATACTCACCACCGATTACATTGGCTGGTGCAGTCGCCGTATATCGGGAATTGGCAGAAGTTGGAATTCATAGAGACTGACCATTGGGTCAGGTTCTGCTGACCTAATGCCCTAAGAGCTTGTATTTTAACCGGAAAGTCCTGAATTTGAAACCTGGTAGTGGGTACGTACTACTGAAAGGTGCCAAACTGGTGCGAAACAGCTGTCCAGTACTTCCATACGGCTTTTCAATGCTTTTCTAACCAATATCAGCTCATGTTGAAATCCTGTAACCGATTCTTATATTAATTGAAATATGCATTGATATCTGTGTCTGTGAAGTTAGAATTATCGCTCACTGTGACAGGAAATACACTTCACTTTTTTGTATTCTCACTGATGTAGTACAGAAAGACATTGACAAAAATAAACTCACCTCTTTTCTTGATTGACTAGCCATTCTCAGGTAACTTCACGCTTACACAGAAATCTTATATAAGATGTGAAATAAACGAAGCACCCTTTTTAAATCGATATATTCGCGCATCGACAAAGACTATGACATTTATGATTGGATGGTTTGCCTAATCAATGAGTCTATAGTGAATGTTCACATGATTATATATGTGTATATGCATGTGTCGATGTTTCTATCGAAATCTGTGCTGAAACATAACTCGACCAATGAAGTCTGTTCTGTGTTGTGTTATCTCAGGTACTTGTGAAGGGCGTCAGTGCAATTTCAATCTGTGATAATGAATTGATCATTTCGAAATTAGAAACCTTTTGTAAAAAGAGGTGAAAATAATAATTAGCGTGATAGTCAGCTAATAATCATCGAATGTCACCTCTGTCCTGTGAACACTTTATTTCTCAATTGTGATATGTGGACTGATAGTCTGTTCAATTGGATAATGGATCAGTCGTCAGTGTCTGATGGTCGGATAGACAGATAACCAATGGAATTTATCTCTTACAACGCCTGCTTCATTGGCCCACGTAGACATTCCTCGCTTCTTTGTTCACCATGTATGTTAAATTCTCGGGACATGAGTTCCTTCAAGGTTGCAGATACGCCTTGCTGACGAGTGCCAACTTGCACGAAACCTAGGTCCAAGGCTTCCTGCCGATTGCCTCCAACCACCTGATATCATCATAAATTCTCGCTTTTGTAAATATGCTTTTCGTCCCAACCTTATTATTTATTTTCTCTGAAAGTAGCGGAGTTGGGAAATCGATTACCTGTTGTATAACGTTGTTAACGTAGACAACAAAGGATATTCGTGATCACTGAGTCTGTTACTACTTCACACGTCCCTACCAACGCAGCCCATTGAACGTTAGCAAAATATAAACCCAAGTGATCACCGTTATTAAGTTATCTGATTCGATGGAGGATTATTTCGTAAATATTGCCCTTATATTCTAGAAATGAGTGGAATTCAAACAGTATGACCTACATTCCAACCAGAGATACAAATTATACTGATAACTAATACCTAATTATAATCAGAGATGTTGAGTGGAAGAGATAGAAGGAGGATTGTGAACGGATGAATTATTTCGCCTACCTGTTCAACCACCACCTTGGTATCAGCACCAGGTATTTTGATGATATGAATAGGTTGATGATTGGTCAACGGTCCTTAGTGCGGTGTGGTGGTGTGGACACTGTTTGGACAATAAAATAGAGAGGAGAAGGATGTCTGCTATGGTCAATATACGGCATGCACCGTGGAAAGGTAGAAACCTCTCTAAAACCAGTAAAAGAGATTGCAGTGTCAGGAGGAGGATATCTGGCTACTTGAAGTAGCAGACCAAAGTATGGTAAACAACTTCCAACTTCACTTGGTTTAACTTCTACTCTGAAGTACATCGGTAATTCAACCATAGAAGTAAGAAAGCAGTTAAATGGAGATTACCGATTTGTCGACGCCAGCTCTGATAGACTTGGCTGACGATCCTGTTGAATATACAACACCACCATAGGTAATATATCTACATCAGGTTGGTTGGTTTCTCAACTGATAGATTCGCCTAGCGAAATCGATCGCACTCTAGTCAGTACACTGAAATTAGAAAATCAATAAGAGAAATGGAAACCTGTACCAACTTGCTAAAATAGTGTCCATTCTCTAGAGAATACGGTCTTTGAAGGTTGAATTAATATCGAGAAAAGTCATTTTCACACAAACCGTGACATGAACTCATGAAAAGTAACGGTGCTCGAAGCCTAGCTGATGGCATGACATACAAACATGGCAGCAATGAACAGGAAAACTTTCAGAAGATCCAAAGCACACTGAAGGAGGTCTGTAGAAGTGTAAGTGCTGAACACCAAGCTGGTTTGGGAACGGAGTTATTTCCTGACCAGTTGATGTACAGATACAGGCAAAATACTTTTACCGCATGTTAAAACCACAACTTGTACATAACTCCCGTATTCAGCTTCTTTCATTTCGTTTTCATGATATCTATGTCGCTTCATAAGCATGATTCATTTCTTCACTTAGCCATTAAATCCATCTCTCCGCTATTCGATATTCTTACAGATGACATACATATTTATATCTGCATCTATATACTACTTATAAGTCTTACCAGTAGCACACGACACATGTATGGTGTACAAAAGATACTCACTGGTAAGTGAGGACAGATTATGACTTGGAAATTAGGTTACAGGATGGATGTGAAGAATTCTGGCAAAAAAGGGGATATGTTCCGGCAAAGTAGAACCAAGCACCTTCATTCTGTAGCAGAAGTTCCAAACTGCCTGTGAAATGACCGACCTGATTGATTTAGAAGTGGTTACTATACGGAAAGTGGTTTATACAGTAGCTGAATCCAATGATATGAAGCCAAAGCTATCTAAACAACATGGCATAATTATATCTAATAATGAACCTGGAAGAGGTCTCAAACCACCTAGAACTATGTGGAATTTCATAGATTATTATTATTATTATTGTTTCCTTTAGCTCCTAGAGGAACATAGGGCTTCAGCCGTGCGTCTCCATTGTGTTCGGTTCTCTGCTAGAGTCTTTACGTGGCTCCAAGTCTGCCCACACGCCTTCATCTCCGCTTCATATAACCTTCTCCAACTCATCCTTGCACTGACGACCAGCTCGCCGCTTCCCATTCGGGTTCCACTCGAGCGATGGCTTGTCTAGTCATATCACTCACTTGATGGTTTCCTCAGAGTATGGCCAATCCATCTCCATTTCTTCCTGCCTATTTGTTTTACAATCGGTTCCTGCTGGGTTGGTTCGCTCATTGCCAGAGAACTCTGTTGCTGATCTTTTCTGGCCGGCCATCTGATCTTGAGTATTGAGCGAAGACAACTCTTAATGAAGGTCTGTAGTTTGTTTGAGGTGCTATTCATGACGCGCTGGCCAAGTCTCTGACCCGTATAGTAGCACTGACTGACTTCACATTTGAGTTGAAAATCCGGATGTTATTTTTGATGGTGAGTGCTGTTGACCTCCACACAGACTTGAGAGTAGTGAAAGCTTGCCTTTCTTTCCCGATTCTTGCTTTGATATCCTCGTCAGTTCCGTCCGCCTGTAGTTGAAACGATGCTTCATAGGCGGGTAGGTAAAAGAGATTGTTACTTTCAGGTTCCTTCCATTTATGCTGATTGTTGTCAGTTGTTGTTATTGCTGTGGCTGTTGGCCAGGAATCTTCATCACTTCTGTTTTCTTCATGTTCACCTGAAGTCCTTCCTGTCACTGATGCTTCTTCTGCGAACTTGTTGCTTTTCACTTGCATATCTTCGAGTTTGTGGGAAATCAGACATATGTCATCATCGCCGAAGTCCAGATCCTCCGAGTTGTTTTTGTGTGGGTCCATTTTATGCCTGTTTGATCGCTGCCCGCCGCAAGATCCAGTCTGCTGAAATCAGGAAAGTCATTGAAGACAGTGGGCAGCTAGGTTGTCTTACTCCCGTTTTCACTTTGAAGGATTTCGTGAGTTTTCCATTGTGGATTACTTGGCATGCAGCGTTGTCATACAACTGTTGGATGAGATGTATAATTGTTGTTGGCATCCAGTAGTAGCGATGTAGTTTCCAAAGCACCTCTCGATCGACGCTATTGAAGACCTTTTCAAAGTCGATGAAGTTGAGATAGAGAGGTGACTGCCATTTTTAAGCTTTCTCCATTGATCATCCTTAATGTGGCGATCTGATTGATCAATTCATGACTTGTTCCTCCTGAATCCCGGCTGTTCCGGTCGACATGTTTGATCAAACATTTTTGATTCTCTCCAGGATGATGCGATTTAGTATTTTGCTTGGGATGGACAGGAGCATAATTCCGCGCCAGTTATAGAGAGTGAAGATTAATAATCTTTTGTGGACCAAGTTAATTAAGGTTGGCATTTATTTTCTCAGTTGTACTCCATTGGAAACAAGAGGGCACTGCACAGCTATTTCCTTAATCCTATTTTGGAACTCATCATCAGTACGCACCCACCAGGTTTTGAACCCATGACCTTGAGGTAAAGAAACAAACTCGTAGAATATTCAGCCACCCGGGCACGACTCAATAGCCTAAGAATTCCAACGTCTTCCACTTCTTGATTTAAGCGGGAACACCAGCCAATGTTATCGGCAAGTAATTGTCCTAACTCTCGACTGGATGGACCCAACTAGTTCCATCTCAAAAGTAGAGTCTTAAGATACCTACTGTCAGCACACCTGTTGTTTCTCTTCTAAAGGGTGTCCATTGTGAAACCAGTTTATTCTTCGATGCCATTCTCAAACATAACGATTCGAATCTGTTCAACATGGCTGTGTGCTCAATTGATATTTCAATATCTTTTGATTCCGTTTCTTATAGTACAGTAGTTAGGATAGCTAAGATGTACAATGCACCAGGATGCCTTATGTGATACATCCAATCGTCATATTGTAACTGACGGGTGAATATTTTAAGGAATCAATTCCCTGAAAATAGATGTATATAACAAGGTGACACTTGGTCAGGACTGCTATTCACCAAATGTGTCGCAGCAAGCCTCTAAACACCAGAGCTAGACGTAGAGGTATGCAACCAGAAACCTGGTTACTTAATATTAGCTACTCACCTCATAGTCTTCTCCCTATGAAGCATAGCACTGCGGGATAAAGTTCAAAAACCTGACCGACTACGCAGCCAGACCAAGTTTTCTAGTAAACACGTTGAAATTAGTCATCCTAACCAAGACTAAACTGGATTCGGACAAGAAGATATATGTCGTAGTTACAAAGTCAATGTGGTTAACACCAGAGCTGTCAAAGTAGATGATACTTTTCGTCACCAAGTATTAGGCTGAACTTCGAATGGTTTAGCAGGCTGCAGAGGAGTGACAAAGTTATCATGGTAGAACGACCGAATAAATCAGAAGCCATCAACGTTCAAAGAGTCAAACCAGCATTTATCAATGACTTCCAAGACAATGATATAGATCAACTGAACTACGTACCAACACCTCCAGTCACTAAAACTGCAATGTCAACAGAAAAACCCGTGAAAACAATGCGATCTGGTAGGAGAGTGCACTGGCCTTAAAGTCACGTTTAAATTATCACCATTT